CCAACCACCAAACAATAAAGAGCATCAAAATAATTTTAAAAAGAGTAGAATTTTTTGTACAAGTCCAATAATAATTTCTACATTTCATATTTATTTTAATTTTAACGTTAAACAATTATGGTCCACTATTTTCCCTAATTTTCAACTTAACTCCTCTCTTGTTCACATTGTGATTTTTTTCTTTATTTTGAAAGAATGAAAAATTGTGAAATAATAAATAAAAAAATTATATAGATAATGGATTTTGCTCTCTACATTTAGATAGTCAAATTAACTCTTTATTTGTAAATTTTAACTATAGATAGTCTATTGAATACTTAAAATATGGAACTAACTCTCTAAAATAATGATACTATTAAGAGCTTATTTAAACCATTTAACTACAACTAAATCAGTAAATTTAATTAAATTGTTATTTTATTAAGTCAAAATTAGAGATGATTAAGTTATTCAGTTGTATAAGGTAATTGTTATGCAAATAATAAAGATATTCACTTCAAAGTAAGAAAAAGAAAAAAAATATGGTTGGAAACAAAATGTTATTTAAAAGCAGTGATCTAAAAAACGTAAGATAAGAGTAGACGTAAATATGCATTTTCTTAAAACCATTAAATAAATAAATAAATAATGCATGCCAAACAACTAAAATTATATAATATTATTATTACAATTTGCCACTTATATTCTCGTAGAATATTATACATTTCAATGTTAAGAAACAAAAGTTTATATATCAATATTTTAGAAGAATATTATTTTGATGCTCTGAAATAAATATAACTTATAAATCTATAATCTTAAAGAATATTGTTTCTCTCGAAGAAGTACAATTTTAATAGAAGAATATCGCATTACTGCTCTTGAAGAATCATAATACATATTATGATATTAGTATTCTTGAAAGATATCATATTGTGATCCTAAAGAAATAAATTTATACCCATTAATATTTTAAAATTTATGAATTATTTGAATGTATCAATATTTCAGAAAAATATTATTCTCTTGCACGCGAACAATCGTGACCTAGTATATATCAATATTCCAAAAAAAATATTATGTCATCCCTCTTGAAAAAGCATTATTCTATAGTAAAACAATATTTTGGAGTAGTTAATATATATGAAAAATATTTTGTTATTCTTGAAAAATCATATATTTATGTTTATCATAATTTTATATAAGAATATTTTATTACTACCCTTGACGCCGATGGAACCAGCACTTAGTAAGCACTAAGGAACGCTTGGTGCTGGCTCCGCCGGTATTAAAATTTTTTTGCCCTGCAATACATTCTTTCATCACAGATTCTTCTTTATCAGTGCTTTTCAAAATCAACTTTTTTCTTCAAAAGAAGAAATTGTTTGTGTATTTTTTTTATAAAACCCTAGAGAGAGAGAGAGAGAGAGAGAGAGAGAGAGAGAGAGAATTTAGGAGGCACAAAGAGAAGAAAATGGAAAGTACGTATGGTGATTGTGTAAATGTTATGCCCTAAATCAATCAAATTTGGACAAAAACATTTTTAATATATAATTGATACATTTTATTTATAGTAGATCTATTATTTAATTGAATTAATATTATAATAAATTAAATAATAAATCGTAAATTCAAGTCTTGGTAATTTGTTAATCACAAGGAGTTGTGATTGGGAGATATAAATTAAATATGACTGAATCTTAAATCATCCATGGTCGTAAGTAATAACGAGATACATATATTATTATTACGAATAGACCATCACATGTAGTATTTCTTACTTGTGAAGTAACTGATCTCAAAATCTAAAGTGTGGTAACACTTAAATGAACATTTGCATGTTTTGTTATAGAACAAACATTATAGATCATCTTGACAAATTCCACATAGATAACTATTTGAGTGTTAATAGTTAATATTAAACGTTCGGTAGTGAAATTGGTAATTTGACTTGAAGTCATCGTAGTGTCTTGTATGGGGGGTTTTGGTGATGTTGGATATTTCTTTACTAAGAATTGTTCATACGGCATTGTTCGGTATGTCAAGAATCATAGGAAGATTGTGAATGATCAATAGAGGTTCATCACTCTTAGATAGTAAAAGATTATGATCTACATTTCATTCAATTAAGTTGATAACGAAATCATTGGCTAATGTGTACTCATAAGTTAGAAAAGAGTTTTCAACTTACATTGACTTAATAGTGAATGAAAGATATGATCGCTAATTGAGATTGACACACATCCATATCTCGTAGTTGATCGGATTATATTGACGAAATGATTATAATTTCACGATAAACGAACAAGTTTAGTTTTGTAATACCACGTGATATTTTCCATTACATGTATTATCCGATACATTGCGAAATGTTAATTTGGGACGACGGATGTGAATCGGTGATAAATTAAAATGGGTATTTGAATTTATTGATTTTGATTGGATTAAAATAATAATTCACGGTGTCAGGCACCATGATCGGAAACATAATAGATTACACAAAAAATAAGAACTAGAAGAATAAGATTCATCAATTAATTAACAAGTGTTTGACAATTAATTAATTGAGTTGCTTGTTAATATGTCCTAATTAATTAATTTGATTAATTAATTCATGTACCAAATTTAATTGATTGAATTAATTAAATATTGGATTGGGGTTAAGTTTAAGAGATGGCCTAAGCCCATTTGGATTTTTATTAATAGGCATATAGGGTTTCAAAAATGATAACACAACACAATTATATTCTTGCTAACACAAGAAAAGAAAAATCCTAATTCTTTCAATTTTGTTCCCTGTGTGAATTTTCATTGAAAGTTAGACATTGATAGTTGTGGATTTCAGATAAGAATTTTCTTTGAGGAATTCATCAAATATATAAATTTCTATCACAATTTATATTTAAACATAAAGCAGGGTCCTTAGTGGGAATTGAAATCAATTTTATTTTTCGTTGTGTATGATTAAATAAATTCCCAGCAGATTGATTAATACATATAAGGATGGAGTTAAGGTTTTGGTTCCTTCTCCTCTTAGGATTAAGAAACCTTTTCCAATCAGATTAGGAAAAGATTTTCTAATTTAATAAAATTGTAAATGAATCATAATTTAAAGGTCCCTTTTCCTTTTGGGATTAGATTTTAATAATAAAATTATAAATTTTACAAGAATTATGAAAATTACAAGAAAATACATGCCTATAGATTTTAAAAAAATATCCCCTTTTTTTTTACTTCTAAATTTTACATGTGGCTATTTGTTTGGGCATACTATTTGACCCATACATATCAACTCATATATAATATGTATTAGATATTTGCTTTGGTCTTTATAAAAGTAAACATATTGATAGACACGTAATAATCATTACGTTACATGTGATAAAAATATAATGCTTTACATAGACAAAATGGATAACATAACCTATCACCACTTTCACATGTCTGTTTTATGAACGAATGGTTCTTTGAATTTTATTGCTGCCTTTGATGGCCAACAATCTTCGGAGTACAAAATTTAAAATAAATATTCTAGAAGGATATTGATTATTTTTTAATTATCACTATTCAAGAAAAAATTTACTTCAGTGCACATGAAGAAGCACACATTCAAACATTATAATATCTCGAAAGAATTTTGCTTATTGTTTTTGAAGAAGACAATTTAACATAAATAAATATTATAGAAGAATATTTTCGTACCGAGAAATCACTTTATACAATTAATA